AAGTGATGCGACCAAAAGACCCGATCCCTAAACAGGAGATGTCGGCTGTTGTCTACCGACTTCAGTGCAACTGCGGAATGTGTAACTACGTTGGGGAAATCGGCCGACGGCTGCAAACGCGTATGCACGAGCATAAGTTGGCAGTGCGAAGGTTGGACCCAAAGTCGGAGGTAGCAACCCATGCCGCCCAAATGGGACACGTCTTCAACTTTGACGCCGTTGAAGTTGTGGGCCGACGAGATGATCATACGGCAAGAGAGGTGCAAGAAGCCTGGAGGTCTACCGACTGCTCTGTCAACCGCCACATCAATTTACCTCCCCCTTATCTGGTTTTACGGAATTCTTGACGGAAGACAGTCACGGCGCGGGACAATCGGGGCTGCCAATTATCACCGCGGCCGACGAAGATGGGCGGAATTCAGGTCACGGTGACATGCGGGTCGGATGCAGCCACGCAGGCGGCATTGATGGGCCAGACTTTGAACAAAGTGCGCCATAAAAGGATAGCTGTGTGCACGACTGCTCAGTCTCTGAAGATGGGTAGAAGAAACGACTACCCGAGATGTCAGACCTCAAATACGCCTCTCCCGGTGAACGCCTCCTCTTCTTTTGATATGCCACCCGGGAATCGCATTTTCACCTCGATTGATTATATAAGAATTTAAATAGCAAAAATAGTCCCTTTTGCAATCTAAGGAACCATAAAGGATCGAGGCCTGTAAGCCGGCAACGTTCTTGGTAAGACAAATGTCGGTGTTCCAGGGTTAAAATTCTCTTGGTAAAAAAGTGTTGAACGGATTCTATTTTCTTCCGCTCAGTAGCACGCATGAGGCTAAATGAAAACGAACAGTATTCCAGACCAGGTCTAACGTACATGTTGAAAAGGCGCATTCTAATATCCCTAGTTTCAAAATTTCGGAGGATAAACCCGGTCGTTCTACGTGCTTTGGTGACTATCAAGGCACAGTGCTCCGAGAGATTGAGACTGTTGGAGTATGATACGCCCAAATCCTTAATAACCCCAGGCACATTTATGGCGTGACCTTCACTACTTAGTTGAGGTTGGCGGTCGTCGCCAACAACCATGACTGAGCACTTATGCCAAGAAAGAGAAAGGCGCCATGTAGAGCATCATTGGGCGAAAGTCTGCAGGTCGATCTTTAGGATCTCAAGCGCGATGAAACGATCTGCCGGCTTATATCGATATGCAACTTTAAGATCATCGGCATACATGAAAGGCCTACCATTCTGAAATAAATCGGGTACATCATTAACGAAAAGGCAAAATAAAAGCGGGCCGAGTACACTACCCTGAATGACTCAACCCCTCACACGTGTGGGGTTGGAGATGGTATTGGAAATCTTAACTCGTTGTGTGCGAGTGCCCAAATAAGAGGATATAAAATTCAAACGTTCGCCACCTATTCCGAAAGAGGACAATTTCAAGAGGAGAAGAGCATGGTCAACACGGTCAAAAGTTGCCACTGATCCCTATTTTTTAAGTTTATGTAGGAGCCTCTGGTGTGGCACAGTGTCGAGCGCCTTCTGGAAGT